CGCAAATATAACATAGGTGCGCTCAAATTGGTCGTCAATCAAATTAATCATAAACTTGCCTATCGTCTAACTTTTACTCTAAAACAATCGAATTAATGAAATAGTGTATCAAGAGGACTTCTCGGGATGTAAAGTAGGCTCTTTGGATCGGGTAGGATAATATAGGCTAAGTGGCTCAATAATAATCAATTCAACTCAACTCCATCACCTAGCTGTGAACGTTAACTCCTCCGGTACTCAACCTACCGTTTCTTTCCAACTTCCGCCCAAAGCCAACACACTTCCCCGACAATTATTCCTATATACACACATAATATAATTTTTTTTTATTGAACCCTTTGGATATTCAACTAATCCATTCGGTTCCCCCTTTTTTTTCGTTTTTTTTTTTTAATGACAACCTTAGGATGTTTATTTCCCTTTGGTTCCATTTCATTTTTCACACTTTTTTTTTTGTTTTTTTTACACATACACATCAATCACCAATCACCTCTGATTCTCCGCCCGTAAATCCAACATGTCAACGTCACGAGGTTATAAAAGAAAGAAATCAATAAGGCTCAAAGGGGGTGACTAGCGAAATTATTTACGAGAAAAGAAAAAGGGAAATAAAATACAAGGAATGCCTCAATCATTTTTCACATTTCACAAATTCAATCAATTCATTTCACAGCAGACTCAAGGCAAATTCTAACTGAATATAATTCAGACCAACATCTCACAAGAAACGAATATGGTTCAAGCCTCACAAGGTAGATGATGTCAATCAAAATAACCAAACAATACATCAAGATGCGACCCCCATGCTCATCATCACAACTTCTCAACTCAATCAACAATTATTAACTAGTGTCACAATTCGCCACAGTCCAAACTCAGAAAGACACAACACATAATCCTAAAAGCTAGACCGATCCACCACATACGCATGCAAAATCCGAATAAACTCCCCCACACTTAAAACGAGGCAATGTCCTCATTGCTTCAACACAAAACTGGGAAGTCAAATAACGGAACCTAGCAATCTCATATCATGAACCAATACCAGCAGCTAGCACACAAAAACAAAAGACTCAAAAAGAAAAGACACGAAACAACCTCACAAAGATGAAAAGAGAAAGGGTGTGCAAACCGAAGTAGCGACGAGGGAACTAAGCATTCACGTTCAAGCCTTTCGCCCATGATCAACCGGTCCTCGATATGTCCTGCTAAGAAAAACACAGAACTCCAAATCCCAATTATTCAAAGATAAAACAAAAAGCAAAAATAAAATAACTAAGAAAGCAGTAAATCACTTAGGTTGCCTCCCAAGAAGCGCTTGTTTAACGTCATTAGCTTGACGAAACCTGCATATGCATCAACCAGGATCCAGAAAGAAGTGACGTTCGTGCCACGCCTTCGTGTTTTCGAGAAGTGGTAGCATGGGAAGATTGGCGAGAAGGCTGGCACGGTGGATCCGGGTGGCTATGTTCTTGGTGAACCGGGTTCGGGCACGAGAAATCCCCAATTCTAGCGCAGAGCTTTTCCCACCCGAGCTCTGTCGTCAACCTCAGGGATGATAAGCACATCAGTGGAGCAAGTCGAACTGAATCTCACCCACTTCGTAATATAGTGCAACAACCTCGAAGATAGATGCTCCAACTCAGAGGTGGGAGGAGTGACTTGAGAATCAAGCCCATGGATCTCCTCCTCTAAAATAACATCAACGTCTCGCTGGAGTTCATCATCTTCTTCTTCGGCCTTACACATTCGCTTCATCGTACGGGCTTGAGTATCAAGCATGAGGTGGGGGTCATTGACTTGTGTCTCGATTGAGTCGATATGTGCTATAAGGCTCTCCATTTGTGTGCTCAGTCGAGCACATCTGAGTTCAATCTCTCCTTCTCGGTTTGCTCGGGCCATCATCCAATCGAGGATGAGGTCAAGCTTGGCATTGTACCCTGAAGAGTCATCCCCGAGCTCATTGAAGTGCAAGGGTGCTGGATGGGGATCGACAACCTTGGGATCATCGGCCTGAGACTCGATAGAGTCGATGCGCCTTGCTAGATTCTCCACTTGCTCGCTCAAACCGGCACATCTGAGCTCAATCTTCTCCTCTCGTTTTGCTTGGGCCATAAATCGATCTAATATGCGATCAAGTTTGGCATTGTAGGCGGCCTCTTCTTTTCGAGCTGATTTAGACTCTGTGAAATCAAGAATCTGGTCGAGCTTCTCGTTAAACTCGTGGGACTCATAAGTTTGCTCAACCAGAAAATGGTGCCTGCACTGCTCGGAAGAGTACGGATAAGATTGGGTGTGGTACCCGGCGGAATAGCTCGGCTCATTGTTCCAAGAGAGGTAGTGCAGGGAGGAGTACACGTGATTGAAGTTCATATTACATGCACACCATAACAGAATAACCACACGTAGCCACGAAAAAGAGAAGAAGACAAAAACAAAAACAAAAACAAAAATAAAAGAGAAAAACAAAGATGCAAAGAAAGAATAAAAATGCTAAAAATGCAATAAATAAAGAGAAACACAGAAAATAAGATCAACACCAAAACTAATATCCTACTTGCCCTCCCCGGCAACGGCGCCAAATTGGTTGTAGCAAATTATATTTTTACCGAGTACGAGATGACTCCCGACCTCGGGTCGATCTCTCGAGGAAGGCAGTTCGGAATCTAAAATTGGTGTCGATTACACACGAAAAGAAAATAAATCCTAAACACTCTAATCAAGGATGATTTGGAGAAATAACTAAAACTAATTAGAACTAGGAAAGCGAATAATGAAATAACAAATAAATTGCTAGAGAAATAGAAGAAGTTCTAGGGATCGGGAAATCTCATCAAGTCCTAAACTATGTTGAACGCTTATTTGTTCGGTTACATGATTCAACAAGCCTACACGTCTAGAGGTTTATGCTCAATAACTTTTCATAACAAGATCACACACATAAACGACAAAATCATTCAATCAAGAAACTCATAGACAATACTTTTACGAACAAGTCTACTCTATACGAGCCTAGGTCGAACAACTCATCCCCTTTCGGGTCTAAAAGTTGTTTAAATGGATTAGAACAAAGCGTTCACCTCATACGAGCCTAGGTTCAACACCCATCGCCTTTTGGTTCTAAAGGTCATTTTCCTAGCAGATGAACATTCAACGAATCCCTAATAATCGAGCAACTCACATAGATTGAACAAAGCACATTCAACACAATTCAAAACAAGAATCAGAATTTCTAACCCTAGGTGAATGAATTACCTCATTCTTGGATTCAATTCCATGTTAATCAAATTGAAGAGCATAAACCCAATCAACAATAATAAAATAGAATGAAAAACTTACAATCGGATTAGGACTTGCAAGAGTTTGATCCCAATGTCTCTATTTCAAACAATCCAAGCATGAGAGAAAAAGAAAAAAAGGAGAAATAATCTTAAGAAACTATTTACAAATCAATTCATGGAGTGTCACCCTCCAAGATCGAATGCAAGATGAAAAACTAGAGAAAAAAATGAAAAGGACGAGTTTGGAGTGTCTCCTTAAGATCTGGGAACATGCCTAAATATATAGGGCTCGAAAACTGAGCAAAAACAGGTCGAAAAATAAGTAGGGTCGCGCAGGGCGCCGCGCCGCGAAGGCTGCCGCACCGCGGTGGTGCCTAGGAAGGTCTCTGCTTGGGTCGCGGCAGGTGCCGCGCCGCGGCACAGGCGCGGTGTGGGGATGCTGTGCACAACTTTGCGTTTTGGGCTCGTTTGGGCTCGTCCGAACTCAGAATTGAGTTTCGTTTTTTTCTACGCGTCGCTAACGAACCCCTCTATACAATGATGCTTGAATGGCCAAATTATTCTTGAAATCCAATTATCTCAAAGCTTATGACCAGCACCAAAGACGTGCTTCGTGCGACTTCGCGTCTTGGGCCCGTTTGGACTCGTCCGAACTTGAAATTGAGCTCCGCTTCTTCCTATATGTAGTTAATGAACCCTTCTACTCAACCATGCTTGCCGGGTCAGATTTCGGGCTAAATCCATTCCTCACGGGGCTTTCGACCTGCACACATCAAACAAGAAGAAAAACGTAGAAAACCGATAAAAAACACGAAAAACACATAAAAACCAAAATATAGCAAAACACATAATAAACTACAAAACAAACTAAAAACTAACTAAAAGTCCTAAAACGGGGGAAAAAGAGAATCAAAACAATAAAGAAAATCGTAACAAAAATGGGACAAACAATTGCGTTAGCGAGAATTGACTGAGAGGTCGATTAATTGATTCACGAGTGACGATTGTTTGATTGCATGTTCCCAAACCTATGAGTGCCTTCTTTCCATCTTGGGTCTTAGGGCACCTTGTTATTTTTCTCTCTATTTTACTTTTTCTTGCAATTTGAAGTGTTGCTTGCGATAAAAACAATCACCAAATCATGCGAGTGGAATTTTAGGATCTTTATTTTCCGTTTTGTGTTAGTCGATCATTGTCCGAATTTGTGTCCGAACAACTTTCCTTGAGAGACACGACCCGAGGTAGAGATTTATCCCATATTCGAACTAAAACTACATACATTAAAATAACTATTTTCTTCTATATCTATGCCCCTATGTATTTATTTATTGTACTATGGAATAAGAAAAACTGGACAATCTTGCTAGTCTATACATTTTAGAGACAATAAACTATATTTATGGCCCTACTCGTGTATTATAATATGAAATAAGAAAAAATGGACAATCTTGCTACTCTATACATTTAAGAGACAATTTAATGAGTTGCCGAGGAGAATAGTCAAGTAGAAATTGGTTTTTGGGTGATTTGGTCTCTTTTTGATTACGTAATAAAAATTGGTTATGTTATGAATTTATACTTAATTTTTCATAAATAAAGAATTGAAAAGATTCTAAAATTGGTTTAGGGTGTATGGAAAATTAACTCTATGATTGAATGAATTGAAATATGAGTACAAAACTATTTTAGGTAGCTCAAAACTAGCCAGACTCGAGAACAATGGGGGCCAAAGATTCCTGGTTCTTACGATTCTTCGAGGTCTCGAAGGGGAATCGTTTCTCTATTTGCGGACTCGTTGTAGTTGAAGACGGGATGGATCGGCAGGGGACCTCAAGAATTGCTGGCGAGAGATCGGGCGCACAGCTAAACTCCACGGGATGTGGGCTGTGTTGATTTTAATTCATCAATATTGATCAAACATAGCCTAAATTCTTAAAATATTGGTTTCAAATTTACAATATTGTCATCAAATTTACTAACCTTAAAAATCATTCTATAATTATTTTTCTACCATAATACTAAACTAATACCGTATTCCTTAAAAATATTGTCGTTGAAAATTAATCTCTAATAAGTTTGTTTAAGTCACTATAAAATATTATTATTAAATAAAAAATTAGTAAAATGTGTTATTTTATATATTTTACAAACAAATTTTATTTTCCAAATCAAACCGGTCATTCAAACAGTCCTTTCAGCATGCCTTGAAGGACACGTATCAATAAATACTACATAAATGATTATGAGACAACATGAAAAGTTACGTCTCTAACATAAATACTAGTACAGAGCTCGTTCGATGCACGGGTGCACAATTTTAAGGCTATTTATCCAGAATTATAATTATATACATGAATAAAGAAAAATGTATGGGATATATATAGTACGTGACCCGTGCAAAGCACGAGATATATTTATTTGGAGAATATTATATTATAAGATGCAATATTCAATAAAAGTTTATAATACGCAAGAAAATTGTACAATGTTCAATAAAAGTTTTATAATATTCAAGTGGAGTCTTAAAGTCTCTTATACATTAAGACTACTGACAAAATAATATTTTAATCAATGAGTTTCTTTTCCTTGTAGCCAAATTGTGAATGTGATTTGAGGAGTACAACAAATCGATATATAGCTGACTTGCTTTATTCATTGTAGTTTTTTTTTTCTTTTTTTTTTTTTTGAATTAAGATATTCTAAAATATAGCAAAAATGATTTTTATAATGAATTTAAAGATATTCTAAAATATAGCAAAAATTATTTTTTTTATTACATTTAGGAATTTTACTAAATATAAACTCTCAATCTATGGTGTTAATCAACGTTTAAGTCTAAAAAATTAGGAATTTTTACCTCTTTTAATCAACGTTTAAGTCTAAAAAACAATAGAGTTATTATAAGTTTTTTTTTCTACATCTTTTAAAACATTAAATATGAGCATGTTAGGGCTAACTTGTAAAATAATTAATATATTATCTCACTAAAATATTTATACTAATAAAAATTTAATTTTAGCATATAAATTTATCCCTTGATATAAGAGAAAGTAACAATTTGAATTATTGTTGTTTACCATATAATATTTAATTTTTATTTTATTACATAATGAAAAAGAAATATTGTTAAATAGTGTAGTAGAATTGTTATAAAATTATATGATTTTTTTTTACGATACGGATTTAATATTTTTTTTAATGATTTGATAATATAAAAAAATTTATACTTAACTTTGACAAATAAAACAAATAAATACTTTAGTAAGTATTTAATGTATATACTAATTAGGAATATATTTGGTATAATCAAATACCAAATATAATCAAATAAGTCAAATTGTACATTTTTATTTGGTATTTGATTTTTTTTTATTAAAATCTTTTTATTATACTTACCTTTTTAAAATAAAATAAATAAATAAATCAATTAAATAAATAAAATATTATAATACCAAAATAGTAATGGCATTTAATGCAGTTGACTTTTCTGGATAGTAAATATAGTAAATAGAATCTCCTTTTACATAAGTATAGATTGTATAATACGGAAATAGTAATGCAATAAATGTTGTTGACTTTTCTTTATACTAAATCTGGTAAATGGTATACCTTTTAATATAAGTATAGATTACATGATTGAAGTCCAAAAAATTTCATTCACATCCCTATCACTATGTATTATAACGAAAACAAAAAGTGAATGTATTTTGTATTTTTATGGTTAAGATTGTCTACTTCCGCATCCTGATCGCAAGTTCATGTATTAATTTAATGGTTCTCGTCTTTGATCAGAGTATGCTCGATCAAGTTCATACAACTCTTCAGCCCTATCATTTTTCATCAGGTTATTCCGGTTGTTGATCTAGGCCCAACCTACGATCCTCCGCTTTATTGCTTTTGAGAGGATGTTGAAAATCTCCTTCACGTGGTTCTGGTAAACGTTCATAGGATGACCTTTCTAGGAGTTTCCACCTGCTTGAGAGCAGTCAGCATTAAGAGTTCCTTGGTGTGTGACCTTCGTCAGCTGCAGCTATCCTATTGGCTCTAACTGATGTCGAGCCATCGAGAGGGTCCTCGACTCAATCCGAGACTCATGCCCCAACTCCTCGCATGGGTGCACTGGGTCCATGACCGACAACAACAACAAGCTCCACCACGAGAGGATTTGCCCACACTCCCCTTCCTCATGCCCCCATCCCTACTGCTCCTACACCGGTCTCTCATCTTTAGTCTATCTTCATTTTGCCGCAACTCACCCCATCTTGAACAAGGGTTTGCTTTATGTCCTTAGATGTCGGGCAGTATAGTGGGTATTTGCAGCAGATAACTTCGATAGGCCACATGCGTCAACAACAACCCATGTTTCTCTCAAGAAAACCAACCTTTTCGGCCAAAACATGCTCTCAGGCTTACAAGAAAAGTTGATGATTGGGGAAAAGTAAAAAAAAAAAAAAAGAAATATGCAAGAAGCTGATCTCCGACAAAAATATGATAGACCCGTGATTGACCAAACTATTCCCACAATTCTCTGCATACTCATCGTCTACATGTCACATAGTTTATCGCATACTTTTTATGCATTTGTTTAATTATATCCACCTATTTGTCGCATATGTTATCATAAAATGAGATTGTACTTTTTAAATTATCTTCGCCTTTCTGTCGCATAGTTTATCGTATAGTTATTTCGCACTTGGTCAATTAACTTCACCTCACTGATGAAACTCCTTACGGTCTCTCCCTTCTCACTGATGACCTCAACTTGAGGTCGCTCAGTGGTCTATCTTCTTTGATCATCTATGTTTTTTTCTTCATATCTTCGTCTTATTGTTCCTAACTACAACTGATGTAATTTATTTCATGTCTTTTTTGTCGACTAGAATACTGAAGAAAGTCTGGGTGATTGTAGTTCCTCGGGGAAAGCCTCCACAGCCCCTTGCGATCAATACCAGTGGTAATTCTATAATGTCGAAGTCCTCTCATCAGCCCGCCTTCCTTGCCGACCTCCATTCGTTTCAACTGGGCTCTACTCTAGTGCCACCCTCCATGCCGAACTTTGGTGTTTTTACCCAGAGCCATACATCGACGAAGAAATCCCGCCCAAAGCAGTGAAAAAACATGTGAGCCTCTTCGAAGCCAGGGCGGCTGAGGTCTCCAGGATCTAACGCGGCTGGGGTGCTTCTGAAATCGAAGGTTGCTGATCCCCTTGCAGCTACTGTTTTGAAGATGTCTTCGAGGATGGTGGTCACCAACGACATTGGGGGCCAATTTGCCTATCTTCTATCTATCCTCCCCGAGAAGGAAATAAACTGGTGGCGCGGGGACCAGGCCTTCCGAGCTTCTTATGTACTCTCGCATACTCTCCAAGTATGAACTTACCTTTTTCGTGATGCCTTACCTTTGTTGTTGTTTTCTTAACTCACACCTTTTTTGTTCTCGTGTTTTCTGTCTTTTAGGCCTTGTCTGGGCTGGGTCCTCTTTTGGATGAAGAGTTGTTAGGCAAGGGCATTGCGGCCGAGAACAAACGACTAAAGTCAAACTCACTACTCGAGAGCAAACTTTTGACCAAAAAAGGGCCAAGCTAAAGGCCACCGCCTCCAAGGTGCACAAGGAGGCCAAAATCTGAGGACTAAGCTCAATGGTCTTCAGACCGAGCTCATCGCTTTGGGCCAAAGTAGAGAGTGCATCTCAGCTGCGGGCTCAACTGAGCCAGTTGGTTGCGTCGATGACCGAGTGAGAGGCTAAGGCACGTGAGGATGACCTAACTTCTTTCCCCGACTCAAACTTATGGAGGAGATTCTTGGAGCGCTACCATCAAGAATTGTTGGTCTGCTTAAAGAATTTACAGAATTTCTCGCACTGGCTAGCGCCAACCTCCTGACAATACCTAGAGGTCAGGATTGACCGCGCTATGGGCCAAACTATTGTTGAGGGCTACAATGGTGAGTTTGACGAGGACCATGTGTGGCAAGGCCTCGCCACCCTGATGGATGGGAAAGTAATCCAGATGAGCCTCGTGAACACGCGTGGTGGGAGCTCGCCATAGCGGCGGTTAAGTGGCACTTGGGCTAGGTGGCGAGCTCTTCCCCAAAAAGAACTTCTTCCGCTCCGTATTCTCATTATTATTATTTTTTTGGTAACTGAACTTACCCAAACATGGGTCTTTGTAATAGTTTTTCATCCTGAATGAAATATTGTTTTTTTCTTCTCTTGGTTGCACTACTTACTTGCTTTTACTTCAGACGTTATTTAAACAGTGGTACTTACTTGAAAAGTCTTGAGAGCTTCCATATGGATGACTTGGATGTATTAAATCCTTTGTCGGGATCACAAAATCATATGACCTTCGTAACTTACTTGTAAGCCTAGGCTCTTTTTGCGGGACAAAATTGTCTGACCTCTTTTTGTTAGTCTCTTCATGGTGTTTCTATTCTATATTTTGTTCATTTCATTACTTCTTTGATTGAGGTCTCTCGGGCTTTTGCCCAATATTTTCTTATTTCTTATCTTTCTTTTCTCTTTGGGTCCTACTTTTTCTTTTTAATCTCTTCGATGGTTTGGTCTTCAGAGCTTTGGTTCTAGATTAATGTTTCTTTCTTTTGGTCAATCTCTATTTTTCTGAGTGGCTTCTGCCCTTAACTAGAATGGCTTCACACCAGAGGCTTGCTTCTCTTGATTTTACTTGATCATTGCCAAATGTCTTAATTGGCGGGCTTGTTATCTGTGGCTTATCGTACGAGCTGAATTTTCTATTGCTGGGCTCAGTCATAGGACCGAGCTTCTTAACTTGTACTTTTAGACTTCTTCGTTCTGGCCTGCCTTTTTCTCCCTTTTTCCCTTTTTTATTTTTATTGAACCTAGGGCTTTTATTTCCTTGAGACATACGCCTGCGAACTACGAGCTTGGAGCTTCATTTGGATGGAACTCGTAGGCCCCCGAGTTTCAAGCTTGGAGTTTTGTCTGTCTGATGGATAGGCCCTTGAGCTGTGAGCTCGGGGTTCTGCCTAGCTTTGTTAAAAAAAAAAAAGGCCCTCGAACTATAAGCTCGGGGTTCTGTCTATCGAGGACGTAGGCCTCCGAGTTGGTAGCTCAGAACTATGCCCTTCATGAGATATATGTCCCCCTAACTTGTAGCCCATAGTTCTGCCCATCATAGATATTGGCCTACGAGCTAGTAGCTCGGAGTTCTGCCCATATGAGATATAGGCCTTCGAGCTAGTAGCTTGGAGTTCTGTCCGTTTGAGATATAGACCTCTGAGCTGGTAGCTCAGAGTTCTGCCCATCTGAGATATAAGCCTTCGAGTCATGAAGTCAGGGTTCTGCCTACCTTAATCACTGTTCTAAAAATCAGCCTACGCGGTACTCGGGCGCCTCCGATTTGCAAAAATCGGCAGAAAAAATCGGCCAGGTGCCTAGGCAGGCCTAGGCGGCCGTAGGCGGGCTTGGCGGACTCGGCGGTCAGGCGGTTAGGCGGCGTCTACGCGGGCATAGGCGCTCCTAGGCGGGCTCGGCGGCAATTTTTCAATTCATTTTTTTAAATACCAATTACATCATTTTGTTCTCATGTTTTCTTTACTATATATTAATATTATTATTTGGACTTTAGTGTGTGAATTTATTATTAATTGAGATATTTTTATTTTGTGGGTAGTTAAAATAAATAAAAAAAAATAAGGTATGTAATATTGATTTCTGGGCTCCGCCTAGGCCCCGCCTAGGCGCTCTAGGCGCTAGGCGCTGGTCGAGCACCTAACGGGCGCCTAACGACTTTTAGAACACTGTTTAAAATAGGCCCCCGAGCTGTATGCCTGGGGTTTTGCCTGACTAGGTCTTAGGCCTTCGAGTCATGAGGTCGGAGTTCCGCTTGGTCGATCTTAGAGATCCTCGAGCTCGTCAGCTTGAAGTTCTACCCCTGTATATACTTTGTCATCCTGATAAGAGGTTACGCTGAACGCTAATTTTGGTATTTTGGGATCCCAAGGTCAGTAAAGACTTGTATACGCCAATAATGGAAAAAGACTTATATTGTGCAGTAACTGAACTTTTTATTAATAACTTAAATGTCTTAAAATGCATGTACGACTATGCCCCATACTAAGGCCTTAACCGGCTTCCAAGCTCACGTGCTCGGAGGTCGTTCTAACACAAGAAATGGCAGAAAAAACTTAATGTCGAGCTTAAAATAAAAGTAAGTAAGCATAGTAATCTATGTAAGGTGGGCTTCACATGAAGGTCTTCCTATGTGGTTGTGCATTATCTGAGCTCATTCTCACCTTGTTGACAAGTCAGACATCCATCTGCTCGCTTTCAAACTTTCCTTTCCTTTTCTTGTTGCCCGAACTCTCAGAGTCCTGGGCATCCTGTTCTTTCTTTCTAGCCTCAGCTTCCGACCTCTTCAATGTTATCTTGTAGCATATTTTGGCCTGATTGCCGACTGGAAAATTGATCTTTATATAATATGTCGACACTGCAGCTTGAAAAGCATTCAATCTTAACCAATGTAAGATAACATTATAGCTTGAAAAGCATTCAATCTTAACCAATGTAAGATAACATTATAGCTTGAAAAGCATTCAATCTTAACCAATGTAAGATAACATTACTCAATCGCTATTCACCGCCCCCCTTTTACTAGTCACCGCCCCCCCCAATTACTCTTTTGCCCTTAACCCTTTTTTTGATTTCATCTCTCTAAACTTTCTATCTCTCTAAACTTCCGAACTTCAACGAACGATTCGAGCATCAAAAAAAATCCAAAAAAATGTCGAAAAAATTCTACGGCCTCGGCAAAGGATTCTTCTCCAACAAGGTAAATTTTTTTATTTTTTTTTTATCGCCGGAAGTATT